ATAATTCCGGCTGCAGTATAAGACCGGAAGTCGACCCCGCGTGTTATAAAATATACCTAATAATAAATAATATTATGCATAGGTGATAATATACACATTTCGGCTCGATTGTAAATTAGGTCACCAACGATATGGATTGGAGGGGAGTCATTGTCTACTATAGTCCGAGGCAGTTTGCCTAGTGAATGTATTGTTAATTTGAAATCCATTATCTGGCAAAATATGTCGTGATAAGGCCATAGAGAAATACGTGTTGAGATATCCGTCCTTATTACACGGGACTCGTACACGTCGAGTGTGCACGCTATACAAGCTATGATGTTTTAATGTGTATGGATTGCCCGTTTTTTTTTTTTTATTTCAACAGAAAAATATTTATCTATACGGATGTGGGCCAGCATATTATAATATAATAATAATAACAATAATTTCATACATAAAATTATCGTCAAATATAGTAAATTAAAAACAAGACCGGACAAGAATATTATTATATGTGTGTGGCGTTTATAAAGGTTATAAAGCACTGGGATTTTGGCTTCTCCTGCCAGTTCATTCGCGAAATTGTTATTCTCAGTTCTCGTCATAAGACATTAAACATAAATGATCAACAATTTATAGTTATTCAATAAATTCAGTATATATCCAGAATACGAACCTGTCAGTTACCATCGTCACTCGATGAGATTTTTCCAAAAAAAAACTTTTCACACGTCGGTTGCTATTGTTTTAATTGCTTTTAGAAAAACTCRACTGCAGGTACGYTATACTATACCTATATATATGCGCTATACTAATCGGTATTCAGTGTACAGCTAGGTAAATGTTAATTCATTTTAATTTACAATCGRCTCGAGTTTTGTTGTCGTTGAATTTTTCAATTGAATTAAACGCTAAAATTATATCGTATGAAGTATAATAAAATAATTGTTTTAAGTTGGGAATTTCTCAGGCTTAAKCTGTAATTAAAATATTATTATACGTAAGTATATTTATAATTTCATAAAACTGAAGATTTAAGTTAAAATAATTTAAAAATTTAAATGTGRACGCCACACCCCATGTGTTGTCTCCGTCTTGCAAAGTTCAACTTAGTACATTATTTATGTTTGTTGTTTCTCAAATTAGAATTATAAAGAATATATGGAAATATTTGAGTATCATGCAGTTTAAAAGTTGCACTATAAATTATCTAGAGAAGTCTCAGAAGATTTTATTGATAATTCGATTGCCAAGTAATTTATAAGCATACCTGCGATTTTGTATGTATAAAATAATTACAATTGTATTGAAAATTAAAATATCGATACAAGTTTCAGAGATCTCTGGATAATAATCTTAATTTTTATTTTAATATGAGTCAATTAACTTATTTTTTTTTTTTAAACAAAGTAATATTGCACAAAACATAAAATAATGATTAAAAGTATATCGAGTCATTTACAACAATGTTTTTAATTCATATTGGCATTTTTTTTGTRTATAGTGATTAAGTACTTTTTAGGTCAATTAACTTTATCTATAATAATACAATGAATTGGGGACCAAAAGACAAAAGTACGTATAATCAAATGYAAAGAAAAAACTTATTTAGTCACTTGTTTTGCTATGTATAAGAAGGTAAAGTATTAACATTTAACAAGGCATGACGAAATCCTATATACAACGAGAACGTGTCTGTGCTTTTAACATMAAAAATAATTCATAAAACAAGGTTAAACTAATGTATACATTTAACTAAATTGTACATAAATGATTAATAAATTATAAATACTAAAATATGAATATGATTTTGGTTTGATAGTTTTTATTTCAATTTATCTATACACGAAATAATAATTACCTATATAATATGTCAATAAATTTGTAATAATATAATAATAATTAATAATAATTAACTGTAGTCAAAAATCAAATACAATTATATATAAATATTAAATATGTATATGTATAAATTGTATAATACACGATAATGTTGTTGTTTACC